CTCCTCCGGATTCCATCTGCCAGCCAATGTCAGTTGGCGACCCCCCGGGGGAGAGCCTTCTCTGTTTCAGCTCCAGCCCTCTGGAATGATCTCCCCGTGGACATCCGGACCCTTACTACCCTCCTGGCCTTCCGCAAAGCCACCAAGTCCTGGCTGCTCCAGCAGGCCGGGGGGCTTGTGAAATATCCAGCCCCACGGAAACCATGAACGTTGCGTTCTTTTTAAAGTGTTGTCTTTGTCTATTTATCCCCCTTTCCCTTGTCTATTGTGAGCCACCTGGAGTCCTTCGGGAGTGGAATAAATAAATAAATAAATAAATAAATAAATAAATAAATAAATAAATAAATAAATAAATATTCTATTCTATGCCATGCCATATTTTCTATTCTATTCTATTCTACTCTACTCTACTCGGATTGGAACTTCTGCTTGCTGTATTAACCATTGTGGTGTCTTACCTTTATATTTTGTTCTTGTACTACCTTCTTTCTAGGATTAGAAGAACCCTTGGTCTCCGTGATCCCGCCATCCATTCGTTTGGCCCCCGTGCTAATCCGTGGTCATGTCGAAGTTAAAGTGCTCGGAGTCGGTCAGGGTTGTCGTACGATGCCGGCCCATGAACAGCAAAGAGAAAGTGGCCTCCTATGAACAGGTGGTGGAAGTGGACGTGAAATTGGGGCAGGTCTCGGTGAAGAACCCCAAGGGGACATCTCACGAGCTTCCAAAGACCTTCACCTTCGACGCCGTTTATGACTGGAGCTCCAAACAGTTTGAGCTTTACGATGAGACTTTCCGGCCGTTGGTGGACTCGGTCCTCCAGGGGTTTAACGGGACCATTTTCGCTTACGGGCAAACCGGGACCGGGAAGACGTACACCATGGAAGGCGTGCGTGGAGACGTTGAGAAGCGAGGGGTCATCCCCAACTCCTTCGACCACATCTTCACCCACATTTCCCGCTCTCAGAACCAGCAGTATCTGGTGAGGGCCTCCTACTTGGAGATCTACCAAGAAGAAATCAGGGACTTGCTCTCCAAGGACCAGTCCAAGAGGCTGGAGCTCAAGGAGAGGCCCGACACGGGGATCTACGTCAAGGACCTCTCCTCCTTCGTCACCAAAAGCGTGAAGGAAATCGAACACGTCATGAATGTCGGGAACCAGAACCGCTCGGTGGGCGCGACCAACATGAACGAGCACAGTTCGCGCTCCCACGCCATTTTCGTCATCACCATCGAATGCAGCGAGGTTGGGCTGGACGGGGAGAACCACATACGGGTCGGGAAGTTGAACCTGGTGGACCTGGCGGGCAGTGAGCGCCAGTCCAAGACCGGCGCCCAGGGGGAGAGGTTGAAAGAAGCCACTAAGATCAACCTCTCCCTCTCTGCCCTGGGCAACGTCATCTCTGCCCTCGTGGACGGCAAAAGCACCCACATCCCCTATCGGGACTCCAAGCTGACCCGGCTGCTCCAGGACTCCTTGGGGGGCAACGCCAAGACCGTGATGGTCGCCAACATCGGCCCCGCCTCCTACAACGTGGAGGAGACCCTGACCACTTTGAGATACGCCAACCGTGCCAAGAACATCAAGAACAAGCCACGGGTCAACGAAGACCCCAAGGACGCTCTCCTGCGGGAATTCCAGGAAGAAATTGCCCGCCTGAAGGCTCAGCTGGAGAAAAGGTCCATCGTCAAGAGGAAGAAGAAGGAGAGGAGGAGAGACGGCGGCATGGGCGAGGAGGAGGAGGAGGAAGAAGAGGAGGAGGAGGAGGAGGAGGAAGGGGAGCAGGAGGAAGGGGCGGACAAAGACGACTACTGGAAAGAGCAGCAGGAGAAGCTGGAGATCGAGAAGAAGGCCATCCTGGAGGACCACAGCTTGGTTGCCGAGGACAAGATGAGGCTCCTGAAGGAGAAGGAGAAGAAGATGGAAGACCTCAAACGGGAGAAGGAGGCCGCCGAAAAGCTGGGTGCCAAAATCAAGGTGAGACGCCGTTTCTACTGGACCAGTGTTTCTCAACCTTGGTGACTTTAAGTCCTGTGGACTTCAACTCCCAGAATCCCCCTATGCTGGCTGGGGGATTCTGGGAGTTGAAGTCCACAGGACTTAAAGTCACCAAGGTTGAGAAACACTGTACTGGACGATGCATTTACGCTGGTCATTAATCAGCAGAACATGTCCAGGTAACCCTCAGAGCGCTGCGGTGGCCTAGAGGTGGAACTGTAGCCTCGCAATCAGGAGGCTGTGAGTTCGATCCTAGGTAGCGGCAGATATTTCTCTCTCTGAGCATGATGAGTGAATTACCTGCTTCCATTATTGTAACTTATTAATTTTGATTAATATTAATAATATGTATTAATATTATAAGGGGAAAATTCATTATGAGGTTACTACTAGAGAATATTGTTGTTATTATTACTGTGATGAGTGTTACTCAAAAGAATGGTAACCAGACAACACACTCTTTATAGGGATATTGAATATGTTGCTCTTTCTGTTATAATATAATATGAATAGAAAGAGCAAGATATTCAATACCCACATAAAGAGTGTTGTTGTCTGGTTACTATAAATAAATAAATACATGGTTTAAAAAAAGAGTAACTATACGCTGCGAACTCTGCATTGGAGACAGGAAGGGCATCCGGCCAGGAAATAACTCCATTCAATTGCCCTGACTCCACCCCACTGTAAGGAATTACAGGGTCTTTAAAAGACTAAAAAAAAATGTAAAAATGTACAGGTCATCCTCAACTTAAAACCACAATTGAGCCCAGAATTTAGGTGGCTGAGACATTTGTTGAGTTTTGCCCCATTTTGCGACTTCCCTTGCCCCATTTGTTAAGTGATCCATTGCAGTTGTTCAAGGAGTCACACGGTTGTTAAGTGAATCTGGCTTCTCTTCTTGACTCTGCTTGTCGGATGGTCGCCAAAGTGGATCGCATGACCCCCGGGGACACGGCGACCGTCGTAAATACAAGTCAGTTGCCAAGCGTCTGAATTTGGATCACATGACCCTGGGGATACTGCAACGGTCGTAAGTGTGAGAAATGGCCCTAACTCACTTTTTTCAGTGACGTCGTAACTGGACGGTCACTAAGTGAACTGTTGTAAGTGGAGGGCTACCTGTACCTTTGTGTGTATTCAGAAAATTCGCATCTGCAGCTTGAGATATGCAGAAACAAAAGTGAAAATTATTCTTATTATATTGAGAGGCTGTTTTATTACGCGTCCATCAAAACATTGTTGCACCTGCAAAATGATGATAATAACAACAACAACCACAACAACAGGCTTATTTATCTATGTGTTGTCATCGTGGGGTGGGTGGGTGGGCGTTTCTGATTATTTTTGTTTTTATTTTTTTCCTATTGTGAGTTTTTTATTGTTTGTAAGCCTCCTAGAGTCGCTGTGAGCAAGCGGCTGTATAAACATTCTAAATTCATGAATAAAATAACCTGAATGCAGCGAAGGGCAGGTTATTTCTGCATTTCTAGCAAATATCTTAATTTATCGTCAGTCGGTAGTGGAACTCAGTGTGTCCGGCTTAGCGTTATCGGTTGAATCTGATTGGCAAATGGCAGCCAGATGTACGCTGTATGAAGAATATATATATATTTTCTTTAAATTTTTAAGTTGCCTGGAATGACAGTTGTAAGGCAAGGTTGGCATTCGCAGTCTTCTAATTTTATGAGATTTCTTCCCCGGCGCCCCTTATTTATTTATTTTACTTTTAAGGCAATGGAGAGCAAGCTCCTTGTTGGTGGGAAGAACATTGTGGACCACACCAACGAGCAGCAGAAAATCCTGGAACAGAAACGGCAGGAGATTGCTGAGCAGGTGAGATAAGGACAGGATCACTCCTTCCCTCATATCTTTATTGTGCTCTTCACATGCCAACATAACCTCTTTCCCACTCCTGGACAAAGGCCGCCGAGAACATTTCCCAAGCAAACTTGAACATCGGGCACTCTCTAACAAAATGAAATTCAATGGTGAAAAGAGTAAGGTTCTACATTTAGGCAAGGAAAACGAAATGCACAGGGACAGGATAGGTGGTGCCTTGCTCAAAAGGAGAAACTGTGAGAGGGATCTTGGAGTCCTAGTGGACAACCATTTAAATAGGAGCCAGCCGTGTGCAGCAGCTGCCAAAAAAGCCAACACAGTTCTAGGCTGCATCAACAGAGGGACAGAATCAAGATCATGTGAAGTGTTGATACCACTTTATAAGGCCTTTGTAAGGCCACACCTGGAATATTTGCATTCAGTTTTGGTCACCACGATGTAGAAAAGATGTGGAGACTCTAAAAAGAGTGCAGAGAAGAGCAACAAAGAGGATTAGGGGACTGGAGGCTCAAACATATGAAGAACGGTTGCAGGAACTGGGTGTGTCTAGTTTGATGAAAAGAAGGACTAGGGGAGACATGATAGCAGTCTTCAGTATTTGAGGGGCTGCCACAAAGAAGATTTGGGGGTCAAGCTATTCTCCAAGGCGCCTGAGGGTAGAACAAGAAGCAATGGATGGAAACTTATCAAAAAGAGAAGCAACTTACAATTAAGGAGATAGTTTCCTGATAGTCAGAACAATCAGTGGAACAGAAGTTGCCTCCAGAAGTTGTGAATGCTGCAACACTGGAAGTTTTTTAGAAGAGATTGGATAACCGTTTGTCTGAAATGGTGTAGGGTTTCCTGCCTAGGCAGGGGGTTGGGCTAGAAGACCTCCAAGGTCCTTTCCAACTCTGTTCTTCTATTCTTTCACAAGCGTGAAAAATACAGCGGTTCTCACCTTACAACCATAATCGAGCCAGAAATTACGGTTGTAAGTTACTGTGGCCGTTAAAGAGATCCCCATGGGACTCTACCTGATTTTATTGCCTTTTTTTGGTGGTTAAATGAACACCGTGGTCATTAAGGGAATACGGCGGTCATTTTAAGCGAACCCCATTATACCCAGGGGGCGTTTTTTTTGGTTGAAAACTGGAAGGAAACACCGGTTTCCAGCAAAAACCTTCATAAATCGCACTCACTTGAAACAGCTATTCATTTTCGCTTCCTTCCAATTTTTTCATCGGATTTAAAATTGCTCTACTGTGTAATCCAGGGATGTCAAACTCAAGGCTCGCAGGGTGGATCCAGCCCATGGGGTGCTTTGATCTGGTCCGCGTGGCCCCCCTGGAAATATCAAAAGACCGGCCTATAGTGCCTCTGCCAGCTGGGGAGGGGGGGTATGCACAGTCTTCCTGCGGCCTGTTTTTGGCTGGCACAGTGCTGCAGGAGGCTATGAGGGCCAAAAATGGGCTGTGTGGGGGGGGGGCTCCCCATTTCGACCAGCAAGGTGTTGCAGGAGGCCATCCAGGCTAAAAATGGAGCATGGGGGCCTCACACAGCACACACACCCCCACACAGACCTCATTTTGGCCGGTAGGATGCTGCAGGAGGCGTCCATCCCATCTCCATCTCCTGCCAGCCTGCGGAGGAGAACAACACTGCTGATCCGGCCCTCGAAGTGATTCAGTTTGACATCCCTGGTATCATCAGTCACTGTCTTTTGAAAATCAGTTGTGTTTTTTTAAAAAAAAATGTTGGGACAGGGGTGTCCAAACGTGGGAACTTTTAAGACTTGTGGACTTCAACTCCCAGAATTCTGGGGGTTGAAGTCCACAAGTCTTAAAAAGTTCCCAAGTTTGGACGCCCCTGAGTTAGGACGTGAGAGCCAATTATACTAAACGGGTTTCTGAAGTTTTTATGGACTCTATATAAACTGTTAATTCATTGATATTTACTTTGGAATAAAGAGGCTGTAAGTCCTCGCTTAGGAAATGAGTTAGTTCTTGTGCCAAGATGAGTGTCCTCCCTGAATGGTTCCCTTAACACAGTGTTTCTCAACCTTGGCAACTTGAAGATGTCTGGACGTCAACTCCCAGAATTCCCCAGCCAGCGAATGTGCTTAGGACAGTGTTTCTCAACCTTGGCAACTTGAAGATGTCTGGACATCAACTCCCAGAATTCCCCAGCCAGCGAATGTGCTTAGGACAGTGTTTCTCAACCTTGGCAACTTGAAGATGTCTGGACGTCAACTCCCAGAATTCCCCAGCCAGCGAATGTGNCAGCATGGCTGCCTCAGGAATTCTGGGAATTGAAGTCCCTAAGTGATAAAGAGGCCATAGTTACCATGTTTGGCTCAGGAATTCTGGGAGTTGAAGTCCAGAAGTCATAAAAGGACCATAGATAGCATGGCTGCCTCAGGAATTCTGGGAATTGAAGTCCCTAAGTGATAAAGAGGCCATAGTTACCATGTTTGGCTCAGGAATTCTGGGAGTTGGAGTCCACAAGTCATAAAGGGGACATAGATAGCATGGCTGCCTCAGGAATTCTGGGAATTGAAGTCCCTAAGTGATAAAGGGGCCATAGTTACCATGTCTGGCTCAGGAATTCTGGGAGTTGGAGTCCACAAGTCTTAAAGGGGCCATAGCCAGCATGGCTGCCTTGGGAATTCTGGGAATTGAAGTCCACAAACCATGAAAGGGCCATAGACAATTTTACTGCCCCTTCTCGATCATGGCCAGATGGAAGGACATCTGCAGGTCGTCTCGCTTAGCGACGGCAGAGTCAAGATGGGGGCTGTCACTGTACGATCCAGCACACATGGACCAAAGCCAGGTGCTGGTTTTGTTCTTCTTCCTAAGCCCACCGGGACCCCCGGTTTCTTCCCCAGGATGCCGTGCGCACCGATGATCAGAAAGATGACATTCCGGTGGAGAATTACGTTGCTCAGCGTTATATCGAGAACCCGTATTTAATAGGGGGTAAGTTGCCCCATTCGCACGACCCAGATACTGTTAGTCCTCGACTTCCGACCAAAATTGAGCCCAACATTTCTGTCACTAAGTGAGATGGTCGCTAAGTGAGTTTCACCCCATTGGACGAGCTTTCTTGCCACCATTGTTAAGCGTTGTTAAGTTAGTAACAGGGTTGTTAAACGAATCTGACCTCCCCATTGACTTTGCTCATCGGAAGGACATAAAAAAGAGGATCACGTGAGCCTGGGACACTGCAACCGTCATAACTATGAGTAACCTGGTTGTTAAGTGAATCTGGCTTCCCCATGGACTTTGCTTGTTGGAAGGTCGCAAAAGGGGATCATGTGAGTTCCCCCGGATGCCGCAACCGTCATAAATATGAGTCGTTAGCCAGGCCTCCGAATTTTGATTGTGGGACCTGGGGAAATCCCACAACGGTTGTGTGAAAACGGTCATAAGCCATTTTTTCAGTATTGTTGTAACTTTGAACGGTTGCTAAATGAGCTCTTTTAAGTTGAGGACTTCTGTATACTCAGCTTCCTAGCTAGCCATGTCCCGGGTTCAAATTTCTTGGGAGAGCATCTACTTTTAGCAATAGCAATAGCAGTTAGACTTATATACCGCTTCATAGGGCTTTCAGCCCTCTCT